CTAATCCCTCTGCCTTTCCATATACATTTTCAAATAACGTTATTTGTGTGTACAAAAATGTCTTGCTGGGATTTTTATAGCAATTGCACTAAAATTAGATGTTAATCTGTGGAGAACTGATCAACAGCTTTACTATGGTGAGTCTTCCAATCAGCAAACATGATGTGTCTCTCCATTTATTTAGACCTTTGATTTCTTTTACTGGAGTTATATAGGTTTCAGCATACAAATCCTGCAGGGATTTGTTGAAGTCACACTTAAGTACTTTTTAAAGTGATTGTAAGTACTCTAATATTCTAAAAAATATTGTACTTTTAATTTCCACATGTTCATTGCTAATATACAGAAATATAATTGATTTTTGTATGTTTTTCTTATATCCTTTGACCTTGCTGAACTCATTTATTCCTTCTAGGTTTTTGGCTTTTTTTTTTTTTTTTGGTAGACCCCTTGGGATTTTCTACATATACAGTCATATCATCTGCAAATAGGGACAGGTTTATTTTGTCATTTTGTCCTTTCCTACCTATACACCTTTAAATTTCCTTTTCTTGCCTTATTGCACTGGCTAGAACTTCCAGCACTATGTTGAGTGAGAGTAGTAAGAGCAGACATTCTTGCCTAGTTCTTGAGCTTAGGAAGGAATCATTCAGTCTTTCACCATTATGTATAATTTTATCTGTATGGTTTTCATAGATACTCTTTATGAAGTGGAGGGATTTTTTTCCCTGCATGCCTATTTTTCTGAGACCTTTTTTTTATTTTTTTAATATTTTATTTATTTATTCATGAAAGACACACAGAGAGAGGCAGAAACATAGGCAGAGGGAGAAGCAGGCTCTCTGCTGGGAGCCAGCTGAGCGACTTGATGCCAGGACCCCAGGGTCACGACCTGAACCAAAGGCAACTACTTTGGTTGCCACCCAGGGACCCCGAGCTTTTTTTTCTTTTTAACTCAGAGTTTCACCAGGTGTTGAATTTTTTCAGATGCTTTTTCTGCACCAATTAATATGATTTTTAGTCCGTTTGTATGATGGATTGTACTGATTGATTTTCAAATATTGAACTGATCTTTCATCCCTAGAATAAATTCTACTTTGTTATGGTCAATAATTCTTTTTATATATTGTTGAATTCTATTTGCTAATATTTTGTTAACAACTTTGCATCTGTTCATGAGGTATATTGGCCTGGATATTTGTTTTCTTAGAACTGTCTTTGGTTTTGGTATGGGGCAATACTAGCTTTATAAATGAACTGAGAAATGGTTCCTCCTCCTTCCACTTTTCTGAGAGATGTTGTATAAAATTCATGTTAATCCTCCTTTAAAAGTTTGGTAGAATTCTCTAGTAAGACCACATGGGCCTAGAGATCTTTTCCTTCCTGAAAAAATATTGTACCACTTCCTTCTGTCTGCATGGGTTTTGAAGAGAAATTTGCTGTCATATTAATTGTTTTCCCTTATAGGTATGTGTGTTGCTTTTCTCTACTTTAAATATTTTTCTGTCTTCAGTTTTCAGAAGTTTAATGATGAAGTGTCTTGCCTTGAATTTTGGGGGTTTACCTTGTTTGTGGTTTGCTCCTCTTCTTTAATCTGTAGGTTTATGTCTCTTGTCTTATGTCTTCCCAATTTGGGAAGATTTCAGCCATTATTTCTTTGAGTACCTGCTGCCACTCCTTCCTTCTCCTCACCTAGGACTCCTGGGACACAAATGTTAGATCTTTGGTTATAGTTACACAGGTCCCTGACTCTGTTCATTTTTTCCCATCTTTTTTTCTTTGAGTTGTCAGTTTGGGTAATTTCTGTTGTTTTATCTTCCAGTTCACTGGTTCTCTCTTCTCTGTCCACTCCATTCTGCTGTGGAGACCATCCACTGAGCTTTATATTTCAGTTGTATTTTTCAGTTTTTAAAAAAGATTTATTTATTTATTCATGAGACACACACACACACAGAGAGAGAGAGAGAGGGAGAGAGAGAGAGAGAGAGAGAGAGAGAGAGAGGCAGAGACACAGGCAGAGGGAGAAGCAGGCTCCCTGCTGGGAACCTGATTTGGAACTCCATCCCAGATTCTGGATCCCGGGATCACGTCCTGAGCTGAAGGCAGATGCTCAGTTGCCGAGCCACCCAGGCATCCTGCACTTTTCAGTTCTAAGATTTCCATCTGATTCTTTTTTTTTTCCTTAAGATTCTTATTTATTTATTTGACAGAGAGGGAACACAAGTGGTAGGTAGAGGAGGGGCAGAGGGAGAGGCAGAAGCAGGCTCCCCACTGAGCATGAAGCCAGATGCAGAACTGAATCCCCTGATATCATGACTTGAGCCAAAGGCAACCACTTAACTGACTGAGCCACCCAGGTCCCCCTGATTCTTCTTTATAGCATTTATTTATTTATTTACTTACTTATTTATTTACTCTGGTGAGGTTTTCTATGTTTTCATTGTTTCAAGTGTGTTTGTAATTGCTTGTTTAAGCATTTTGTCATGCCTGCTTTAAAATCTTTGTTGGGTTGTTCTAACATCTCTATCAACTTGCTGTTGGCCTCTGGCCTCGATTGATTGGTCTTTTCACTCACTGTGAGGTTTTCCTGGTGTTTGGTATTGAGACAGAGAAATTGAAAGGACCTCATTAAAAAAAAAAAAAAGCTTATTTTTATTTTGCTCCTTTTCCAGCTCCTATTCTTACTAGGACCTGCACCCCTGCCTTATACAGGCCTTACAAAATAGAAAATGTATATCCTCCTTGTAAAGGTCAAAGAGTTAGTGATTTCTTTGGAGTCTTCCAGCACAATAAACATCAACAGAGTGACGGGTAAAGTTGTCATGATGGTTTTCCAAGACAACTGACTCATCTAGAAGTGACTTATGGAGAACACCTAAACATGTATCTTTGTTCTTGGATTACTGAGAGGACATGTGCCCCAGACCACCATCCTCAATAAAAAGACTCACTCTTTTTTCCTTTCTGAGTCTCCCAGATGCTATGTCTGTATCTGCACTCTCTCTACAACTTTAATAGACTCTGTTCTCATTTTCTCTTGGCTTATGTTTGATTTCTAGCCTGTGCAAAGCCAAGGACCCTCTTGGCTGATCCTGCAGACCCCCTCTGGGTCCTTGGACCCAGCCAGCCTGCCTCAATATGAGGAGTGATTTTCAAATGAAAGCTGGAAATTTTCTGATTATGCTATGAAACACTGGGTCCTATTTAAACCTATCTCAGCTGGCTTTCTCAGACACCCCTCTGGCAGGGAAAGAGGGGCACTGCCTCAGTATGCCACATAAAGGGAGAAGTCCAGGTTTCTCTTTCTGCCTCGTTGATACCCCAGCAGGGGCTCCCTGTGACTGCTGGGTGGTTCAGAGCTTTGGCTCCCCATGTGGTCTCTACTAACACTTCGTGGTGGTCGGGGAGCGCACTTGTTACTGGCTGAGAGGAAAGTCAAGCCTCCCTACTTAGCCTTCTCTGACACTAACCAGGTGAGGTAGGATGTCTGGGCCCTCCACCCAGCTGTTGCTGGTGTGAGTAGGGGTGGGGCTCCATCTTTTCTGTGTTGTCTGGCTGGAGTATTTATTGTCTAAAAGTTTCCTGTCTTGCCAAGTTGTCCCTTTCCTGGGGCTTTGGCTAGAGAGACAGGGTTTGGGGAGGCTTTTTTTGTTTGTTTGCACCCACTGCCATTTCCAGATTGCTTGTTCCTCAGCTGTGACAGTTAGACAAAAAAAACAAAAACAAAAACAAAAACAAAAACACCCCAGGGCATGTACCTTTGTGTTGTTCCTTGGGTTTTGAGGTGCCCAGCCTGTCTACTTTCTTTTCTCTACCTTTCAGAGTCTCTTTTGTGTATTATTAAAAAGAAACCACAGAGCCAAAATGGAGTCACTATGTTAAGCCCCACCAAGAATACCTAACCTAATTGCAGTTGCAGCCTCTCCCAGGAGTAGAATTTTAAACCAATCAGTTTGGAACTTTCTGGTCAGCACTAGGGAGGTAATCTGCCTGAGAAGACCCCCTGCCTTCCCTTAAGAGAAGGTGACTTTGCCTGAAACAATCTTTTCCTTTGCTAGTAACAGCCTGTCCCACCCATTACCACCTTCCATTTTGTGCAACAACTTGGAGTACCCTTCTATTGGTTATGGGCAAATTGTTGAATAGAGCCATTTAGATATTTCAATCTACATAGTTGAATTTTTGTTCTTGAACAGTAGCTAATGTCCACAGTTTCTTGTATTTTGCACAGGAATAAGAAGACGGATATCTAACCCATCTTCCTGCAAGTAGAAGTCCCTTAAACAAATTACAATGAGGTGTGACTTCCATGCAGTGCAGCAGACCTATCTTCACAGACATGTACACCCGCTCACCACCACCTAGATGAAACATTTCTAGCAGCTCCGCAGGCTCCCTGGTCTCTGGAAGGACTCATTTTTACTTACATTCCTTAAAAACCCTGGGCTGACTGGGGCGGAGGGTGGATTGGTGAGAGGCAGGGAGGGAGTGGGCTTCTCAGGACAGTCCTCTGCTCCCCGTGGCCACTGTGGGTGGATGGGTTGGGGGGTGGCCTGTGGCCTGGGCTCTGTGGATCACTCCCAAGTCTGTTCAGGCCTGTCAATTGACAGCATTTCTCCTCTCTAGCACTGGGACCTCGGGTCGGGTGGAGAAGCCCAGGTTGTCTGATCAGGGTTTGAAGGCAGGCAGAAGCAGAACTCCTGCTCGTTTGCCCCCAGACTCATTGTCAGAAAGCAAGTTAGTCGGGGGAGATGTGGGCACAGTGAGGTCAGCCAACAGGCTTGCTTCCAAGGCTAATTAATAGCTAGCAGTTACTGAGCACCAACTGCATGTTGCACTCTCTGCAATAACCCTGCACAGGAGCAGTTATTATCTTCAGTTTTACTGCTGGGAAACTGAGCTTGAGTGAGGGGAGTGATTTGGCTCAGGATGCTGGGTGGAACCGTGATCTGAACTGAGGCCTGTTTGATGCCAAAACCTGGGTGCTACCCAGAGTCCCCCACAACTCTGCTGGTCTGGTCCAGCTGAAGAAAGGTTTAGGCCAGCTGGCCAGTGAGGTCTATACACAGAGGTCTGGACCACAGCTGGCCTCCGGCTCTATTCAGCCTCCTGGCTGTCTGCCTAAGTCCAGCTGCAAGGCGCTGGGGGATCTGGGGCCAGCTGGGCAGTCTGTGATGGGAAGTTTGCTTCTAAGGGGCCAGCTGGCTACAACTCTCGGCTTCTTGGCTGACCGCCTGGATGCTCCAGACCTGGGTAGGCGGCATGGGAGTCAGAAAGGGGGTGGTGCAGGGGAGCGGATGGGTCTGGAGCCAAGTCTAGAATCTGATTTTGGGGGGATGATGCAGGAGGGTGGGTTGGCTGCCAGCAACCAAGGACTCCTGCCAGCCAGTGCAAACCTCCAGAAAGGCGCTTGTGGGGCTCCTGGCATCACCGCTGTCACCTCCCTTTTCCTCTCCCGCTGTCCCCCACATCAATTAGTGCTCCCCAACTACATCCCGCTTGACCCCGCCTTTGCAGTACACCTTTCTATTTCTTAATATTTTAATTTTGGCTTCTCTACTTTTTCATTACGCTCAGTAAATGTCTGTTGGGCCACCCCAGTCCTGTCTGTTTCAGCTGCTGAAACTTCAGTGAAGGAACTGACATGAATGTTGAGGAGGAAGTTATTTAACCCCTCCAAGCCTCAGTTTCTTCATCTGTAAAATGGGGGAAGGGTTAATCCTCATGGTCAGGGGGCTGTGAGGAGTAACAAGAGGTGGCTCTAGTCTCTAGGTGCCTCCTGTCCCTCCTGCCAACCCCCACAGACTGGCTCCCTGCTTCTCTCTCCTTCTGATTTTCCACACCAGCTGCCAGAATGAGGCTCCAAATGCTCTACTGAAAACTCCACTCTTCTGGTTCCCAGTTTTATTTTTAGGGGACAGTCTAGTTTCCTTAGCCTGATAGCAGCCAGGGCCTTTCTGGCTCCTGCCAGCCCCTCCAGGCTTCTTTCCTCACCCTCTCCACCTTCACATGCTAGTTATCCACTTGGAGGCCTGTTATGAGCTGAACTGTGTTCCCTCAAAATTTATATGTTGGGTATTAATCTCCAGTTTCTCAGAATGTGACATTTGGAGGTGGAGTTTTTTTTTTCATTTTTTCTGGGTTTAAAAAATATATGTAATTTCCTATCTTTTTTTGAATGGCGATAGACCTTTTTATTTATTTTTTAAAGTTTATTTATTTAAATTATCTCTACACCCAACGTGGGGTTTGAACTCACCACCTTGAGACTAAGAGTTGCATGCTTTTCTGACTGAGCCACCCAGGTGCCCCAGAGATGGAGCCTTTAAATAGATAATTAAGGTAAAATGAAGTCATTGGGGTAACCCATCATCCAATGACTGGTGTCCTTACAAGAAAAGGAAATTGAGACACGGACACTCAAAAGGAGAAGCCATGTGAGGACCCAAGGAGAAGGCGGCCGTCTACAGGTCAAGGAGAGAGGCCTCAGAAAAAACCAACCCTGCTGATACCTTGATCCTGGACTTCCAGCCTTCAGAGTTGTCAGAAAATTAATTTCTGTGTCTTACTCTCCACCACTTTTCTGTGGTGCTTTATGGCTGCCCCAAGAGATTCATATAGGACCTATCACAGGCCAGTTCCTGAGAGCCTCACATTTAGACCGAATAAATTTTTTGTTGCTCAAAGCATCCACTCTAAATTTTAAAAATATGCATCAACTTCCTGTATTGGCATCACTTCATTAATTAATATGTTACTAACCTCTCAAACTAGAGAGTGACAGGAATCCTGCAAGGATTCCTCTGCCTACAGTCCCCGTTGTCCCTTCTCACCTCGTTTTCTCTTTTCCAAAGGTCCACTTGAAGTGTTGCTCCTTGTGGGACCTTCTCTGCCCACCGCCCACACAGCAGGGTCCTCGGGTGTTGCTGCCAGCTATGCCAGGTGGGCCTCAGGGTGAGCCCCTGAGGCCAGGCTCAGTCTCCTGCAAGCAAGGGCCCATGGCTGGCATCCAGCAGATGCCACATACCCTCCTATGTCTCCTACAAGAAAGTCAGTAACAGCTTCAGTTCTTTTTACTTCTTTGTATTTTGTTGTTTCTTTTTATTTATTTTTAAAGATTTTATTTATTCATGAGACAGGCAGAGACACAGGCAGAGGGAGAAGCAGGCTCCCTGCGGGGAGCCCAATGAGGAACTCAATCCCAGGACCCCGGGATCACAACCTGAGCCAAAGGCAGATCCTCAACCACTGAGCCACTCAGGTGCCCCTCTTTTTGTTTCTTTTTTCTTTTTTTTTTTTTTTTTTGAGAGAGAGGAAATGCAAACGTGCAGGGGGGTGGTGTGAGGGGCTGAGGGGGAGAGAGAGAACCAGAGAGGATCTCAAGCAGGCTCCATGCCCAGCCCAGAGACGGACATGGGGCTCAATCTCAGCACCCTAAGATCATGAACTGAACCGAAATCAGAATTCAGACGCTTAATCCACTGAGCCACCCCAGCACCCCAGTTACAGCTTGAATTCAAATTAGGAATGAACTCAGTCCAAGGGACAGGCCTCTGGGTGCCCAGCAATCAACAACAGCTTCACTTAAGTAACCCTGGGTTTAGTTATATAATCATCAACTATTTATTTTTAACTGGATATTTAGGATGCTTTAAATTTTCCCCTTTAAAAGAAAAAAAAAAAACCCTGTTTGTGTCAACAAGACAGATGGCTAGCCTCAAAACTCTGGAGCAAACTAGAAATGCCGAGTGGACTACAAGAAGCGTCTTTCAACATGTGCAGCTGCAGTTGGCAAAGACCAGAATGTGTGATGAAGCGCTGCGTTGGTAAGGACATCCTCAGATCAGATCTTCCAGGCGGGAAGTGGTGTCAGAACAGGAACAATCATTACAGCACTGCATGTGACAGCAAGACGTTCATGATATGCCCCTGAGGTCTGTCACTAGAGGGCTGGCTGGAGGACTAGTTACATACTGTGCTTTAGAGAAGTCGCTGTCCAGAACCATAAGCAGTCTCCTCCAGTCCATTCAGGCAAAGTAATGGGTCAGGGACGCAGATCTGATCGCATGCCACCTGCTTAAAATCATATATGCTTCCCATGGCCATGGAAGTGGAGGGTCTACACGGCGCTCTACAACCTGAGCTCTCTGACTGCACTCTGGATGCCTTCACCCTGCATCTGCTCAGACTCCAGAGTCCATGCTATGCCACCCATCCTGGCCTTTGTGCATGGCCTGAATCCCCCTCCTTCCCCAGTATCTTTCAGGGGTTACCTCCCACCCATCCTGCAACAATGAGCCTCAGTGGCCCCCACATCTGGGAGAGAACAGGCTCCCACCGTTCCCAGGGCTTCTGTACCAGCACTGACCACAGTGACGGGCAACTGCCTGTCTGCTTGTTTGAGCCTGGCCTCTGAGCTCCTCGGGGGCAGGGACCACATTGGCCACTTGTAGCTCCTGCGTCCAGCTCCATGCTTGTTTGGCACATAGGAGGCATTTTCTAACTTTGAGAAACAAAGGGAAGGAGAGAAAAGGGTAGGGAAGGTTCCCTGCAGGAAGCCTGAGCCAATAAGGACATGGGTGAGAATGGCAAGGGTGTCCCAGGCTGGGGAGTGGCAGAGGCAAAGGTGTGGAGGTGGGACGTGGAGAGACCCTCTGGACGCAGTACAGGACACAGGACCTGGTGGGCCAGTTGAAGGGGTACCACAGGCCTGGGGATTGGGGAGCCTGCTTCCTCCTGCCAGGGCTGGCACTGAAGGTCTCCTCAGCTTTCTGAACCTGTTTTCCATCCCAAAAATGGGGTTAATAATCACTGTGTTGTGGTGGGGAGTCAATTGAGGCAGCTCATGTGGCAACATGTTGTAGATCCTAAACTGCTTAAGCAAATGTTGGATTTTTTTTAAATATGAAAATTATTTCAGGAAGCCTAGGATCAAATTGATGATGGGAGCTTTGGGAAGGAGGTTGGGGAGCCCAGACTTTCCTCTAGCTGCTGACACAAGGTTCCAGAAGCTGGCAAGCAGAAGAGGGGTGCGGCCAGGCTTAAGGGTCAGGATCATGAACAGCTACACGTGGGCCTGGCCTCTCAAGCATCTGGACGGTCTCCTGCCCAGCTGTAGAGTTCAGGGACTGGCCTTGGTGTCCCTCCCTGCTGACTGTTGCTCCTTCTAGCTCTGAACACAGAGGTCGAAGCTAGAAGCCACTTGTAAGCATGGCCATCAGTTGGATGGGGAACATGTGGCCTCCTGCCTGAGCTGGCGGCAGCCTCCCCCATGTCATCAGGATTTTGGGCATCTGGGCTGTGGCCTGCAATGGACCTTGCAATCCAAGGGTGTGTCTCAGGGCAGGGCTGGGGCCACCTGTGCCAAAAGGGGACTGACGGATCCTGGGAGGGGCTGTCCATGTAGCGGATACCTTGTTTTCTCTCCACCATGCTTGGCCTTATCTTGATCTTTATTCAAAACTAGCAGATACCAGCCAAGTATGACAGGTGCTGGGGGAGCTGGCACGTCCTTTCAACCCCACTGTCTCTGGTCTGGCTCTTGTCCCACTGCTGTCCTTCAGTTAAAGGAGGCCTGACCCCTGAGCCCAGCTGCATGGGCCAGGTCTGTGATGCTCACACAAGGGGGCCAGGCTCACACAGGGTGAGAGCAAGGGCATGGAGGCAGCCGTGCTGGCATGTGCACCAGGGCAGTTGGGGATTCTGTAGCACCTGCCCTCCCTGGCTCATCATACCCAACAGCACCCAGGGGCTATTGGCTTGACAGGATAATGGGTTCCTGAGTCCTGCAAGAGAGCCCTGTGGGGCAGGGCATGAGAAATGATGCCAAAAGATGGGGGGGCATGTAGCATGCCCCTGTGTTGGCCCCTGTTCCCCTTGCCTCTCCTTGCTTCACAAGCTACATAAGCTAGGCTCTTTATCTTGTACTTCTGGATCCTTGCAGGTATTGGCGTCCCTGCCAGAAGCGTTGTCATCTCACTCTCATAGCTTTGCAGGCCAACTTGTGTTCATCCTTCAGGCTTAGCTTGGGCATTGCCTCATGGAAGATGCCTTTCCAGATGTACAGATCTATGTGATCTGCTTTTGTTTGGTCCTCCTGGCTCACCTCTTGCTCACCCTTGTCAAAGAGCTTATCACCCAGGACTTGTCTAATGATTTCTCTGCCTCACCCACTACACTAGATGCACCATGAGGTGCATCAGTTATACTCTCAGGGCCAGCATGATGACTGGCATAGAGTGCTTAATATATTTTTGCAATATGGATGGATAGACTGGATGAAGAATGGATGATTGGATGGACAGATGCAAGGTTGAATGTTGGCCAAAAGATGGATGAGTGGGTAGGTGGGTGGTTGGGGAGCAGGTGGGTGGATGGGTGGGGCAGGTGGGTGGGGGGATAGATAGATGGAGTGGCAGGTGGGTACAGGAGTGGATGAGTGGGTAAATGGAGGAAATCATGCATATGTGCATGTATGGGAAGATGTATGGATGAGTATCTGGGGAATGGGTGGGTGAAAGAATATAGGAAATGAATTGTGCATATAGTGAAAGAATTAATGATGGATAATGCATGAGTGTGTGGCTGACTGGGTAGATGAGTAAATAAGTGGATAATGAATGGGTAGATAATCAGTGCATGCCTAATGGAAGGTTGGAGGAAAGGAGGATGGATGGATGGATGGATGGATGGATGGATGGATGGATGGATGGATACATGGATGGTTGGGTGACTGGACTCCTCACTCACCTGGCAGGCCTCTGGGACACATTGGGTGGAGTCAGTACACACATAGTACTCAATGATCAGGGTCTCTGGGCTCTCCTGGGAACACCTGCAGTAGAGACCTTCACGGACTTCCCAGTCCAGGAGTGGCACACAAGTCTGATGGAGAGACTGTGGAGGAGGAAGAAGCTGTAGGAGAAGTGGAAGACAAGGAGTGACAGATTCTTGCCTTGGCAACCAGAGAGAGCTCTTTGCATGGAGAGAGAGGGCAGGGATGCAGGGCTGGTGAGGTAAGCTGAGGCTCAGTCTGTGGGTGGGTGGAGAGGGAAGGGGGCCAGGAGCGGCTTGGGGGTGGGGGTGGAGAACAGTGTACCTGGGTTCAGGGTGGAGACAGATGGAAGGATGTCACCTCAGCCCCGTTATGGGCTTGTTTTCTTCACTTTCTCTCAGCCAGTCACCCAGCAGGAAGTGCTGTGAGGCAGCTGGGCAGAGGCCAGTGGGTAGAAAGGGCTGGATCTTCCCAGAAAAGGTCCATCCCCAGCCCCTCCACCAGCACCACAGCGATGGGGAGGGAAGTGTGGTGATCCCCCACGTGGCCTGCACCTCGCTGACAGTGCTCGGGGCATCCAGGTGGTTCCTAGGAGCTCAGAGGAGGGAGTCCAGAAGGGGAGAGATCCAGTGCTCACTGCTGCCTACTGTGCCAGGCTTCCTGGTGAGTGCCAGCCTGCCCCACGCCTTCTGGAAGCTTCAGGCCAGGGAGGCAGGAGAGGAAGCAGAACTCTCCAAAAGAAGGGACTTCTGGTCTCATCAAGCCCTCTTCCACTTACACATCAAGAAACTGAGGCCCAGAGACAATTAGCAAGCTGGGGTCAGAACCAGTTGCCACATTCCTAATTCCAATCTCCACCTAGACCAGGCCTAGGCCAATTTTCTTTCCTTCTTTGAAGTAAATGACAGCACATCAAGACGCAGCAAGACCACAAAGTGCTTTCCAGGCTTATTATAATTGCATGATTTCTGCCTCAGAAAACCATAGAATGTAGTGGTGAAGAGCTTGAATGCAGGAGCCTGACTGAATTTGGATTCCAGCTCTGCCACCAATGGCTGTGTGACCTTGTGCAAGTGACTTAGCCTCCCTGGCCCGTTTCTTCATCTGTAAAATGAGAGTAATATAGTACCTCTCACACAGGTTGTGTTATTGAGGGGAAGTTTATGCACATGGGGTGCGTGAACAATGCATGTGGGTAGGATCGTGTGGCTTGCGTGTGTACATATGAGTAAGTCTGAGCTCATATGTAAGTGTGCACCAGTACGAGGCCCTGGCGCACAGGCAAGTGTGTGTGTGTGTGTGTGTGTGTGTGTGTGTGTGAAGAAGCTACTGCCTACATCAGGGGACCCAGGGGCTAGTTAAATAGGAGCAGGCCCCGCCGAGAGGGAGGAACCACAATGTTTGTTGGGTGAATGAAGGAACAAACTCACTCCCTCTCTATAGCTCCAGCTCCTGAAACCCAGAACCACCCTCCTGCCCCAGCTCCTTCCTGTGGGCTCAGCTCCCAGGAGCCCTCCCCAGAGGCCTGTCTACCTTGTGGGGTCAGGCCTGGCTCAGTGTGTCCCCTCCTGACCCTATAAGTCCCCAGGGTGGGCCGAGGGTACTGTGGGGGACCCACATGGTATCCTCATCCGCTGGAAACAAGGAGCTGAGCAGAGCAGAGTTTCCTCCTTTCCTTTCCAGACACAGTGGTCCGTGGCAGGGGCACTGGGCCCACCTGTTAGTATCCCCTCCTGGGCTTACCTGCCAGGCTCTGGAACTTTGACCTTGGGGAAATCTCCCTCCCAGTCAGAGCAAAACAAATGTTGCCCATAATCCACATGGAATTGAAATTTTTTGCCCTGAAAAGAAAATTTTCTTTTTAGATTTTATTTATTTATTTGACAGAGAGAGAGAGAGAGAGAGCACAAGCAGGGGAAGTGGCAGGCAGAAGGGGAAAGAGAAGTAGGCTCCCTGAAGTAGGAGCCTGAGGTGGGACTCGATCCCAGGACCCCAGGGTCATGACCTGAGCCACAGGCAGATGCTCAACCACTGAGCCACCCAGGTCCCCCTGCCCCGAATTTTTTAAAGAGGATTTGTATAATCTTTCCAATGTTGAATTTGGTAAGAACAAATCACTTGTTATTGTTCAGAAACACATAGAGACTATCCCAGGCTCCAGCTTGGTGCTCAGCACGTAGCGTGTGGTCAGTAAACACTCGTTGACCAATGGCACTCATGATTTGAATCTGGCTTCACAGATGATGAACTTCAACCTGAGTTTACCAGTCGACACCATGTAGAGGGGAGCAGGTGCAAACTCAGAAGGTATTACGTTTGATTTGATGTTTTTCTTCTTGTAGTTCAGAGATTCTCAGGCTCCCATCAGGTTTCAATCCTTCTCAGAGACTGTAGACACATTCACAGGCCTACGAGCCTCGTGGATAGAATGGGGCCATCCACACCTCACCCTCACAGCCGGCCTCCCTGGGCAGGGGGCTCCCCTCCAAGCCCCAGATACCAGTGAGGGATTGTAAGAGCAAAGGGACGGGCTCTGGGCCTTTCTCCAGGAGCAGGAGGCTCTCAAGCTGAGGATGCAATGGTTTTCCCTCGGCCTTGCCCTCTGCGGGGCGGGTAGCTCACAGTGCTGGGTGGGGGCCCCAGGCTTTGTAGCCGGCCTTCCCTACCCGCCTCCAGCCCTGCCCTTCTAATCCGTCATCCACACTGCAAGCCAGAGTGACCAGAGCTGGCCAGTGTTCTCATGTTTCCAGGTGGGAAAGACCAGATTGAGCAGTGAGCGATATCCAGCCCCGCCTGCTGCGGGGGGAGGCCTCTACTGGACCCCTCCAGGTGAATCCATCCCCCCCCCTCCTCTGCATCCTAGCACCTAAGGCTTAAGAATAACTTCCCTTGGGCAAGTGGCTTTCTGTATGTACTTGACCCCTCAGAGCTCAAAAGAGCAAAGGGAAGCACCCAGGGTCCCTGGCTCATATAGGGCAGCTGGGAATCTAGCCCGGAGCAGTCTGGCTCCAGAGCCTCGCCTCGGAACCAATCAGAATCAGGTGTTCTGACCATGAGCCACCTGAGGGCAAGATCACCTCCAGTCGGGAAGGGAAGGGGGAGGCAAGGAGGCTCCAGAAGGGGATGGCATCTGAGCTGGGCCTGCAAGGGTCTCTCAGGAGGAAGGAGGGTGCGCCCCGCTGCAGGCAGGGGCAACATGGAGTCAAGGTGCAGAAAGCAGAGAAGGTGAAGGAGGGCCAAGCCTGGAGAGGAAGTTTCAGGCCCACAGACGCAGGCCAGGTGGCTTGGAATTTTGATCTGATGGTAGGAGGGAGCCAAGGCCGGTGTGGGGGGTGGGGTGGGGTGGGGGATTATGCTGGCTGTGCACCGGGGAGCAGATGGGAGGAGCCCAGTTAAGAAGCGGTTAGAAGGTCCAGAGGTGACAGTCACAAGCTCGAAGCAGGGTGAAAGCCAGTGGAAGGGGAAGAGACCCAGGGACACACAGCCAATGTCAGAGAAGTCAGGGGGGCTGGGAAAAGCTGGGTGGAGGGGATGCGCAGGGCCACGTGCGATATGCTGGCATCCTGGAGCCCCACTCCGTGCTCAGCAAAATGTTCCTCCAGTGAAGGGAGGGAGGCTCCCCGCCCCTCTCCAGGTCAGCTCCGGCGGTGCCGTCGTCCGTCTCCCACACCTCTCCTGCACACCGTGCCGGTGGCCCTGGGAGGACCCTGGCTGGGCCAGTAGGGACAGTGCCTGCCCATGGTTCCATCTCTGCCCGGCACCCATACGGCTCCTCTCTCTCCATCCCTCCTCCCCCTCCCTGTCCTTATCTTTCCCTTCCGTCTCCATGGCGACTCACCATCTCGGCTGCCTGCATCCCAGCCTCTGCCAGGGATTCTGGGCCTGGCTCGGTCCCTCCCTCCTCCGGAGCCCTGGTTCCCGCAGTCCTGTCTCCTCCCCCTGGGGTGAGTCCAGAGGCAGCCTCCTCTTTCCCGACTGTCACATCTATTTTCCAGCGCTGACGAGTCTGGGTCGGCTCCTCTGGGGAGACCATCCCCCACCCCTCCACCTGCCACAGCTCAGCCAGCCCTTCCAGGAGGAAAGCCATCCTTGCTGCAGCCCAGTGTCCCTGCCTCGGGCCTCCTCCTGTCTCTGCCTGCAGACCTCTCCTCACTCCCAGCCCCCCATGCCGAGGTCCGCCTTGTCAATCATCTCCTTTTGTCACCGGCTTGGCAAGCAGGCAAGTCTTGGGTCCTGAGATTTGGGGGGAGGGCGGGGAGGGGAAGGGGCCATCTGGGGACGAGGGATGGGTCTGCGGAGAGGGCATGGGGGCCACTGAAACCCAGGAGGAAGACAGAAATCTGGATTCTCTTCTAGATAATGTTTTATCCCCCCCCCCAATTTTGTCTCCAAGGAGAGAAAACGGAGCTTCATGGGAAGCAGTCGCAACAGTTGGTAAGTGGCAGGGCCTGCCCGCAGGAATGCTCCAAGGCCCCGCCGCCCACAGGCTGCCCCAGGGGAGGCCCGAAGCTGGGTGCCGGGCTGTGGGGGGGCCGGGGAGAATCCGGTGGGCACTGCCTGAGACCAAATCCAGCTCCAGGAGGGAGAGCGGAAGGCATCTTGGGAGAACCAGAGCCCACTGCCCCACACGGGCGGGCTCCCGCCCTCTCCTCCCAGCCCCACAGTGTGTGTGCAGGTACCATCCCTGGGGCTCCGGCCCCCTGTGGGAGCCCTGGCAGTGGAAGGCTGTGGGAGAGGGCTTTCATGAGCATTCACGCCTGGCACCGGGCAGGGAGCTCCCCACACGGACCCCGGGAGCACGGCTGTTGCCTCTCCTCTGGGCCGTTCGGAAACGGGGGCCCAGATCAGTCAGTGCAGGAGCTTGCCCACGAATGCACGGCGGCCGTGTGGCAGCTTCTGCCTGTCGGGAGCCCTGTCACCACTGCTCTGCTGCCCCCACCCCGGGGCCCCAGGCTCTGGGGTGCAAGTGAGGGATGGGCAGAGCATGCCCTCTCTGGGAGCACCCTGCTCCCCACACTCCCGGCCCGTATCCCTGCACCCCACATGCTGCTCCCAACAGCCCGCTCTGCCTCCCAGGTCCCACACGCCATTCCCCAAGCTGGAGCTGGGCCTGGGGTCCCGGCCTGCGGTGCCCCGGGAGCTCCCTGCCTGCTCCATCTGCCTGGAAAGGCTGCGGGAACCCATCTCGCTGGACTGTGGCCATGACTTCTGTACGCGGTGCTTCAGCACACACCGCGTCCCGGGCTGTGAGCCGCCCTGCTGTCCAGAGTGCCGGAAGATATGCAAGCAGAAGAGGGGCCTCCGGAGTCTGGGGGAGAAGATGAAGCTCCTGCCGCAGAGGCCTCTGCCCGCCGTGCTGCAGGTCCGGGGACCAGGCCTCGGTGTGGGGTGTGGGGCGTGGAGCGTGGAGCAACCCAGGTCTGATCCAAGATGGGACTGGTGGCTTTGGCTCTATTCTAGGATGTCAGGGTGGGGCACACAGTTTGGGGGAACACAGTCTTATTATGGGATGGTGTCAGATGCACACCACACTTGGGGACCCACTTGCATGACCTGGATGCTCAGGGAAACTTCTTTCTCCTGACGCAGGAGACCTGTGCTGTGAGGGCAGAGCCACTGCTGCTGGTGCGAATCAATGCCTCTGGAGGCCTCATCTTGAGAATGGGAGCCATCAACCGCTGCCTGAAGCACCCCCTGGCCAGGGACACCCCTGTCTGCCTCCTTGCTGTCCTGGGGGAGCAGCACTCAGGGAAGACCTTCCTTCTCAACCACTTGCTCCGGGGCCTGCCAAGCCTGGTGAGGGCAGGGCTGGGGCAGGGGGCTGGGGAGGAGCAGGTCAGGGGCCTCAGCCTGGCTTTGGGAGGGGAATGGGGGCTGGATGGACCAACTGATGCTCTCTTTTCTGCCTTTCAGGAGTCAGGGGAGGGCGGCTGGCCGAGAGGAGGAGGGTCCCTGCAGGGGTTCAGGTGGGGTGCCAATAGCCTTACCAGGGGCATATGGATGTGGAGCCACCCTTTCCTGCTGGGGAAGGAGGGGAGGAAGGTGAGGGACATAAAAGGCAGAGGAGGTGAAGATTGCGGCAGGGGTGGGGGGGTGGAGAGGCTGGGACATGCAGAGAGCCGAGATGAAGGGGAAGGGAATGGAGAAAGAAAGCTTTGGGGGCAGGACTGGAAGACGGGGGTGGGCAAAGGCAGGGCTGGGGGGAGCACGTGGAGGAGTGAGGCAGGTCTGACCCCGTGGTTCATTTCCCTCCTGCCCCTCCCCCCAAACAGGTGGCCGTGTTCCTGGTGGACACAGGGGATGCCATGAGCCCGGAGCTGAGCAGAGAAACTCGGACTAAGCTCTGTGCCCTCACCACGATGCTGAGCTCCTACCAGGTGAGGGCGCTGTGACCTGGTGCCCCACCCCATGGGCCCCACTCCAGCTTAGCTTTCTCCAGAAGGGCACATGTCAGCCTGGGCTGGCCCTGGGAGTGCTTGGGACGGTGACCCTGATGTCACAGACTTGTGTGTCTGGGGTCTCCACAGGTTCTGGGGTTGCCCCTGCAGGGGAGGGATGCCCCCAGTCAGTGAAGGTGGGAACACGGTTTGTTCCAAAGGGAAGTCTAAGGTCCCCAGGAGCAGCTGAAGGTCAGCAGGCCCACTCCCGGGCCTGCCTGCTGTCCCTCATGGGCAGCCCAGGCCCTGCAGGCTGTGGAGACCCCCAGGCAGGTGTCTCCCAGGTCCCAGCTCCACAGTCGGCCTGTGAGCTCCTTCCTCACCGGGGTCTTCCCAGTATCTCTTTGCCTTTGCAGACCCTCTTCCATCTTGTTCTCCTTGGTTCCAGATCCTCAATACCTCCCCGGAGCTGAAGGATACAGACCTGGAATATCTGGAGGTGAGGAGAAAATTTGGTCTTGGGGTGCCACCTTATCCCTGCCGTGACCATAAGGCCAAGGGACTGGACCAGCCCTAATTGGGTGCCTTCTGGTTCTGGCCTAGGAGTTCATGACCTGGAGCTGGGCTGGTGGGTTTGAGGGCCTGGTTGGGGGAGGCAGGGGAGTGCTAGAGCTGGGAGTGTGGGGGACGGGGAGGGTGGGGAGGGTAGGGAGGGGCCCAGAAGGGAGAGAGCCAGAGTCCTTGGAGTGACCTAGCCATGACCCTTGGTGCCTCATCCCCAGATGTTTGTCCATGTGGCCGAGGTGATGGGCAGGCATTATGGGATGGTGCCAATCCAGGTGAGACACCCGTTTCTGGACCTGTCACCCCAGACCCTCACACCCCCACGGCTGCTGGTGTCAGGACCCCTTCTCTTCCAGCACCTGGATCTCTTAGTTCGGGACTCATCCTACTCCAGCAAGGCAGGGCTGGGCCGCGTGGGTGACATGATCCAGGTGAGGGGTACAGACAGAGGGGCAGAAGGGGCAGGTGGGGGGAACTGGGCAGAAGGGGAGAGGGGGCGGGAGGGGGCCTGCAGGCGAGCCAGGAACAGGAGTCTGGTCCCTAACTCAGAGGTCCCCCCATCCATCCCCCAGAAATCCTCTGGCAAGTACCCCAAGGTTCAGGAGCTGCTCCAAGGGAGGCGAGCCCGCTGTTACCTCCTGCCCACCCCAGCGCGGCAGTGGGCCACCAGAGGCCAGGGCAGCCCAGGCGGTGAGTGTCCCCCAGAGCAAGGCCTCCACACCTTGCCCTCCTCGGCCCCCCCTGCCCTAGCGAGCTGCGCCCTGCCTCTGACACCCTTTCTCCTCCCAAAGCCCGATCCTGCTCAGCCCCCGGTCTCCTCAGCATGAGGAATCTCTTCCTCAGACACAGATGACGATTTGGGGCACCTCTCCGCCTACGTGGCCGATGTGCTGAGCGCCGCCCCCCAGCACGCCAAGAGCCGCTGCCAGGGGTACTGGAGCGAGGGCCGCCCCGTGGCCAGGGGGGACAGACGCCTGCTCACGGGGCAGCAGTTAGCTCAGGAAATCAAGGTGCGCCCCCCACCTGCACCCCCATCCCTCCCCACCCCCGGCACCGCCCCACCCTGACCCCTCCCCTGCTGTCTCCGCAGAACCTCTCGGGCTGGATGGGGAGGACGGGGCCCGGGTTCGCCTCCGCGGATGAGGTACAGGGGGCCCCCCGGAGAGGGCCTGGGGGGCCGGGTGCGTGGGCCCTGGGATGGAAGCAGACGAGGGCGGGGGCGGGCGGAGGGAGGCAGCCTGGCTTTGCCGTGGACAGATGGCCGCCCAGCTGCACGACCTGAGGACGGTGGAGGCCGCCAAGAAGGAGTTCGAGGAGTACGTGCGGCAGCAGGTGAGGGCGCCGGCGGGGTAGGGCCGCGGGCCGCGGGCTGCGGGCGGGGCGGGTGCTGAGCGCGCCGCCTTCTCCCCGCCGCCCCGCCGCAGGACGTGGCCACCAAGCGCATCTTCTCTGCGCTCCGGGTGCTGCCCGACACCATGCGCAACCTGCTGTCCACGCAGAAGGACGCCATCCTGGCCCGCCACGGGGCGGCCCTGCTGTGCCAGGGCAGGGAGCAGACCCTGGAGGCGCTGGAGGCCGAGCTGCAGGCCGAGGCCAAGGTCTTCATGGACTCCTACACCATGCGCTTCTGCGGCCACCTGGCCGCCGTGGGCGGCGCCGTGGGCGCGGGGCTCATGGGCCTGGCGGGCGGCGTGGTGGGTGCGGGCATGGCAGCGGCCGCGCTGGCCGCCGAGGCCGGGATGGTGGCGGCGGGGGCCGCGGTGGGGGCCACGGGGGCCGCCGTGGTCGGGGGCGGCGTGGGCGCTGGGCTGGCGGCCACCGTGGGCTGCATGGAGAAGGAGGAGGACGACAGGGTGCAGGAGGGGGACCGGGAGCCCCTGCTGCAGGAGGAGTAACGGCGCCCAGGAGACCAGACCGAAGGGAGGAGAGATGCCAGGTGGGAGGGAAGGAGGTGTGGGAGGGGAGGCCTTGGGGGTGGTGTGGAACGCCCCACTGCCCTGGTTGAACGCCCGGTGTCTGGGTGGCTGGCTGGGCTGGACCATCCAGGTGGCTCCTGGATGGAGGGGGGCCGCCCGGTCCAGGAGGCAGCGTCTGGGGGCAGTGGATAGAGTGTAGGGCCTGTTTCTGGTTGCACACCACTGCTAACCTGCCATGGTCCCCAGATCAGCTTGACCCCGGAGTCTCCCACCAACAGCGAGTCTCCACTCTCCCCACCCTGGCTTATTTCCCCTGATGACCCTGGATTGTAGGAAGGCTGAGCAGGCACCACTCTGGAAGTCTCCCTTGGGTAGAGAGGATCTGTCCCTTCACAGATGGGAGAAGTCCCAGGTTGAGTGACCTCGGTGCTCAGAGTCAGGGAGCACAAATGAGGGGCTGGGGGGAGAGAGGGAAGGAGGAGCCGCCAGGCAAAACCAAAGAGTTCCAGGTATGGTAGACAGTGGCCTGAACCCCAGAGGGGAGCCGCCTGCTCTAATGACTCTCCCCAAAGCTGCCCCAGGAGAATAATGGTGGCCTCCCCCACCCTCTGCAGCCCCAGGACTCCATGTGTGCACTTTGGATGGGGCCTCTGTAGATGTTCCCTCATGGTTGTGTTCTTTGTCGAGCCTGCTCAGACAGCAGAGTGCCCACGTTCTTTCTGGAATGCTGTCCCAGCAATGGGTTAGATGCCAAAGAAATCGCCAGTAATTGCACTCTGAGCTAAACCAGATGGCGCTTGTAAGTCGGTGAAAGTCCCACAAGGGACACCTTCCATCCCGAACACGAACACGCCCTCTTTCCTGAACATGTGTCTGCCGGAGACCTGGGTGCAGCGCCCCTCCCGACCCCAAGGAGCCCAGAGGGCCCAGCGCCCTTCCGTGGGACAGGAAAGTCCTGCTGGAAGACTTCTAGGCTGTTACACTGTAAAGTATTCATGGGCGCATTCTATGAAAATAAAATATGTGTGCTTGAGTGTCAGCTTCCCAGTAAATTATTCAAATAGTACTTGAATTGAACTCCCAGAGGGCTTTGGAGCAGAGGGGTGGGGGAGGTGAACCAAGGCACTCCATTGTGGGGACCTGTGGACAAGAAGAGGGAGGCTGATATTCAAGGGATCTGGGAGCTGAGAGTCCGAGGCCCCATGTAGGGGTTGCAGGAGGGCTCAGGCCAACGGCCAAAGGCACAGCCACCTTCCACTAGGGCTTGGGGTCCTGCTCCCCTAGTCTCTCCTGCCTCAGATGGATGACCCTGCGAACAGATTGTCACCAGGTGTCTGTCCTGGCAGAAGGAGAGAGTGGAGGCATAGATGGGGAGTCCTTGCTAAAGCCTCGGAGGAAGGAGGAGCCCAGGCCCATCCCCGTGGGAGTCAGCCAGCTGGACATTCACCTGCTGCTTCTCCTGCCCCTCAGCTCCCTATCTCAGAATTATAGCAGTGGCCACTGTGTCCAGACCTGCCTTTTATAGATGCAAACCCAGAGAGGGGAAATCTCAGCTAATGCTCCCCAGCTGGCCTATGGCAGAAGCAGGGACGCTCCAGACTCCTGATCACCCCAGCTGGTGTTCCCCCACAGACATTAGAAGACAATTTTTTTTTTTAAGGTCAGATGTGCTGAAACCAAGATGCTTCTCTTTGGTGGTTTCTCCCCCTCTTGTCCAGCTCTGGGAAACAGTGTTGGGGTACTGAGGCAGAAGGCCATAGTCTGGGACACATGGCCCCACAGTAGGAGCTTCAGTTAGCAAGTAAGGGATAAAATAATGATGCAGAGAAATCCCAAAGTCAGGGCTGAGGACAGGTGGGGTGAAGACAGAGGGCTAAGGAGGATTCTAACTTTTGGAGCTGGGCCAGAGGTGGGGCATAGGGTCCAGACTCTGTCCCGTGTTTGCCAAGAAAGCCTTCCTGGAAGCATTTTTTGGGTCCTTCCATCATCACGTGGTGGATCCATGAGCTACAAAACCTCCCAGATTTTGGGACTGGCAGCCTTAGAACCTTGGAGGGGGCCTCCAAGGAGTCCCTGAGGGAGGATTTTGTCTAGCTAGAATCCCACCTTACAGTGCTGGAAGGAACTGCAGTGGGCTATTCCACCCTGATCTTTGAATGGAATTGAGCTGTTGGCCAAGTGGAGGATGTGCTCTGCAGAAGCAGGATGAGTCATATTAAGTAGTATTTGTCTTGTGCTTTGTACTTTCAAAACATCTTCCCAAGCATCACTTTCCTTAAAGTCTTGAAACCATCTCACGCAGCCTGTAGGGTACCCATTTCCTTTTTTTTTTTCTTTTAAGATTTTATTTATTTACTTGAGAGAGAGCGAGCCCAAGAGAATGTGATCAGGGGGAGGGGCAGAGGGAGAGGGAGAGGTGGACTCCTTGCTGAGCAGGGAGCCCGATGCGGGACTCGATCCTAGGACGCTGGGACCATGACATGAGCTGAAGGCAGCCGCTTAACCAACTGAGCCACCCAGGTGTCCCCGTAGGGTACCCATTTCTATGGACACTCAGGGACATGACTAGTCAGATGTAAGCCAAGCCTTGAACCTAAGGTTTCTGATGTCAGATTCCTTGCTTAGGTGAGCCCTCATCCCACAAGTCTCTCCAGACTCCATGACTGGGCTGCTGGGTCCCAAACCCAATTAAGGATCTTCCTGGGCTTCCAACATCAGTTCTGGAATTCACAAGAGCCCACATGACTCTGTCCTCGAGGTTCTAGCAGGGGCTGAAGCCTGTGGTTGATTTCTCTTCTATGACTTGTCGAAGGTCACAGACTCCAAGGTTCTCAGGTGACAAGTTTCTGGGTTAGAGATCTGGCAATTCGGCTTGCAGTTCTTGCTTCTGAGACCAGTGGTCCTGTTGGAGAGTACCATGTGAAAGAACCTGCATTCCTAGGTCCTGCTGTAGACTGCACCCCACCCCCCACCTTATTCATATGTTACAATCCTAATCCACCACATGATGGTGCTAGGAGGTGGGACATTTGGGAGATGATCGGTCATAAGGGTGGAGTCCTCAGGAAGGGGATCAGTGCTCTTATAAAAGAGTCCCAGAGAGATCGCTGGTCCCTTGGCACCATGTGAGTATACAGCCATCTATGAAGCAGGAAGGAGACTCTCACCAGGCACCACATCAAATCTGCCGCCATCATGATGTTGAACTTCTGAATCTCCAGAACTGTGAGAAATAACTATTTGTTGTTTGTAAGCTACCTAAGTCTGTTGTAACAACAGCCTCTTGACTGCATGGAGCAGAGCCCCCTTAACTCCCCTGACCTGCACTAAACCAATACCCTGAGCAAGGAAGAAACTTAACTTGCAGGGCCCCCCCAGGTGGCTCAGTCAGCCAAACATCTGCTTTCAGCTCAGATCATGATCCCGGGGTCCTGGGATAGAGCCCTGCATTGGGCTCCCTGTTCAGCAGGGAGTTTGCTTCTCCCTCTCTCTCTGCCTCTCCCCCACTCCTGCTTGTTCAATTGCTCACTCTCAAATAAATAAAATCTTTTTAAAAATTGCATTAAGTCAATGAGATATTTAGGTTTACTTGTCACTACATCATAATCTATCCTACTCTAACACAAAAATTTCCTCCTTGAGATGGAGGTAAAAACTGGAAACATCACTGGCTAGGTGGTGGGCAGTATGGAAACATACTGCTGGATCCATTTTATGTCACAAAAAAAACATTTGGTACAACAGTCCCCCACAGTACCATGGAAGGCAGATTCTTGCCCTGTTGAGGAAAACATTTTTAAAAATAAAAATCTGAGGATGTCTGGATGGCTTAGTGGTTGAGCGTCTGCCTGTGGCCCAGGTTGTAATCCTGGTCCTGGGATCGAGTCCCGTATTGGGCTCCCAGTGAGGAGCCTGCTTCTCCCCCTACCTATGTCTCTGACTCTCTCTCTATGTCTCTCATGAATAAATAAATAAAATCTTAAAAATAAAAATAAAAATCTGCCCACCTAGGAAACCCTCCCTACGAATGCCGAAAAAGGAAGTTGTATTACCGAGTATTAACCCCTATTGGGCTGTGTCACAAGTTATCTGCTACTTTAAGTAAAATTGTTAAATAAAATTATTAAGACAGAAAAGAAATCCCACCACTTTCATGTAGCCAAGCAGATACAATGCTGTTCTCAGGTATGAGCACTTTTCAGGTGCAAGGACCTAACCGTCCCATTCGCTGTATGTACTTTCAAAGTTCACTCTGCATTGGCCTGATCACTGGGGTGGCCATCTGTGCTCATTAACAGCCTCTTTCTGAAGGAAAAAGGAAAATTCTCATACCTCCATGATGAGAAGGTACTTGAGGTGCCTCGTCTGGATTCCCACAGTGACAGGGAGATGGGGCACTATCTTGATGTTGACATTGAAAAGACATGGCTCCCACACGCTGCTAAAAAATTTTCCTGGGTTTTAATTCTGCCAAGAAGCTTATTTAGCCTTTAATAAGTTTGCGTGCATATCAAAAAGACAGAGGGATTCTTTACAAATGCAAGTTTTCTCTAGGAATGTTCTAAGAAAAGGAGGGGGAGAAAAGACCTTTTTCCTTTTAGAAAGGAAATTCAATCTTATTTCTATTTACCCTTGCAATTTTTCCCTCTTGTCACTATTTTAACATAACACTATACTTTCTAACTATCTCTGTTGCTCTTTCTGCCTTTCTGTCAGCATTTTGCAGCCATTGAAATATTCAGCACTTCTATGGTAAAATGCAAAGGCAAAGTAACTATCAGAGTCACATTGGGATGAGTCAGAAAGTTCAGTACAATATGGACTTGAGGAAAAATCTTCAAATATGTATACCAACAATAGACATTTATTTAAAGCAAATTCTTGATTACGTAAAGGAGGAAAAAATATCTTTTCCTTTTACTTGTTAAAAACAAGACAGCAGGGTCACCTGGGTGGCTCAGTTGGTTAAGCTTCTGACTCTTGATATTGGCTTAGGTCATGATCTCAGGGTCATGAGATTGAGCCCCGCATTGGGCTCCACTATGAACTTGAAGTCATCTTAAGATTCTCTCTCCTTCTGTCTGCGCCCTGCCCCCTGCTCATACATGCTCTCTCTCTTCGTCTCTCTAAAAACAAAATAAAACAAAAAAGCATTAAAAACAAGACAACAGGTGCAAAATGGAGTTGCTTATGCTAAGTCCATGTCCAAGCTGAGACTTAATTAGAGTTTCAGCTTTTCCAGAAATTGAACTTCAAACTGATCAGGAATTACTTGATCAGTACTAGTTAGGCTGATAGACCCTTGGCAATCCCCTAGAAGAAAAGGACCTTGCAATAAGCAACCTGCTTTTCTGCCTAGTATAACACCCTTGTTCCTGCTCCCTTCTGCCTATAAATGTCATGTGTTGCATACAGCTCCTTGGACTCCTTTTTATCTGCTAGATTGGATGCTGCTCAATTTATGAATCATTGAATAAACCCAATAAGATCTTAAAAATTTACTCAGTTGAATTCTTTTTTAAACATACCCTTTTAAATTCTTGGCTAGGGCCCCTATAGCAAAAAAACAGATTAATAAGAAAAGGCATAAAAATTTATTTAATATAAGTTTTGTGTAGCATGAGAGTCTTCACAAGGAAATGAAGACCTGAGGAAGTGGTTATGCCTGAGTGTTTTTATGCCAGGTTTGATGAAGAGTGGAAAGTTGTGGAAAAGTGTGATAGAAGGGGAAACTAAGCAAGGCCTGTTCATTCTGATTCCTCCCCCCCTTTCATCTTCAGAGATAAGGTTGTTCCTTTCCTCTGGGTATAAGGAGGGCACCTCTCACATGAGAGTTTCATGAACTAGTCCAGGGAGAAGGTCAGAAAGCCCTTCCTGAACTTCTCATTTCTCAAATTCCTTCAGATTCAAATGCTCTATATGCCAAGATGCCATTTGTGGGAGTGGGTTTTGTGTCTCAAATCCTGTTGATAAGCATTGTGCAAAAACTCTCCTCCAGCATACATTGATTTTACAAACTATGTGTTGATTTTA